ACTGTTTGAAAACCAAGGCGCGGCTTCCAACTGGCTGCAGGCGCTTCCTGCACTCAAGCAAAAGCCACGCCGGACGTTCGTTCCGAAAAACGTTCGGAAAAACATTACTTCCGGGTTTGCGGCATTGGGGAGCTGATTTGTTCAGGAGCCAAGGCGTTTGACAACCAAGGTACCACTGTACTGCAATAGAATAATTCGTTTTAGGGGGAGGAGCAGTAAAGCAAATACTGCCCCCTCCAATAAACTAAATAAAAAGTAATTTAATTTACTGTTTATGGTTTATTTTTATTTTTGTAAATACATAAGAGACTGAAGGCAGCTAACATGGGAGATAAATCTATCGAATATGGCGAATGAAGAATCCCATTGTGAAGGCCTGTCAAAACAAGACCGTCTCCCACTGACAGGAAAGGAGCTGGGTGGGTCCCCTGGGGAAGCGAGTTCGAGAGTCTGGCTGCCACAACTACAAAGGCCTTGCCCCCCCCTCCCCCAACCTTCCTTCAGACAACAGCAGCGTCTGGTGCTACGCTCTGGTTCACCTAAATTAAGGCGCTGTCAGGTTCGCTATTATACGCATCCATCAGTGGCGTAGCATGGGGGGTGCAGGGGGGGCCGGCCACACCGGGCGCAACATCTGGGGGTTAGGCAAATCCACGGGTTAGGGGGCGCAAATCCACGGGTTAGGGGGCGCAAATTACTTGCCTTGCCCCGGGTGCTGACAACCCACGCTACGCCACTGGCATCCATCATTTATTGTGGGCAGTATATATTTCGGAATCTCTGTTCATAGTAAGTTGGATATTTACTACAAGCAAGGTTTTTCCCCCTTCATTTCTGTGAGCAAACTTTGGTTATTGGCTGCAAAAAGAAGTTAATTTACTGATACGAACACTTTTGTGTCTGACAATAAGTGGGAGCAATGACCGTTAAGAATTAACACTCTGTATAATTCAACACAAGGGACGAGGGTGGCGCTGTGGGTTAAACCACAGAGCTTGGGACTTGCCGATCAGAAGGTCGGCGGTTTGAATCCCCGTGATGGGGTGAGCTCCCGTTGCTCGGTCCCTGCTCCTGCCAACCTAGCAGTTCGAAAGCACATTGCAGGGGGTTGGACTAGATGATGATGATGATAATAATAATAATAATAATAAATTATTTCTATCCCGCCCTCCCCAGCCGAAGCTGTGCTCAGAGCGGCTAACAACAATAAACGTAACACAGCATTCTAAAATCAATTCATTCTAAAATCAATTCAAAATCAATGGCAACCATTGGGCTAGAGTTCTGTGAGGATTACCAAAGGAGGGGGTCAGACTGTGCCTTGGCCAAAGGCCTGGTGGAACAGCTCTGTCTTGCAGGCCCTGCGGAAAGATGTCAAGTCCCGCAGGGCCCTAGTCTCTTGTGACAGAGCGTTCCACCACATCGGGGCCACGACCGAAAAGGCCCTGACTCTGGTTGAGGCCAGCCTAACCTCCCTGTGGCCTGGGATCCTCAGGGTGTTATTATTTGCAGACCTTAAGGTCCTCTGTGGAGCATACCAGGAGAGGCAGTCCCGTAGGTACGAGGGTCCTAGGCATATAGGGCTTTAAAGGTTAAAACCAGCACCTTGAACCTGACCCTGTACTCCACTGGGAGCCAGTGCAGCTGGTAAAGCACTGGATGAATATGATCCCATGGCAAGGACCCCGTAAGGAGTCTCGCCACGGCATTCTGCACCCGCTGGAGTTTCTGGGTCATGACTCTCTGGGCACCCTACACTCTGTGATTGTGTACCCTACAATTCTGTGATTCTGCGATTGTGGCCCCGTCTGGAATTAACACCTTGTCTCCCTTGCAGTTTACCAGCTGCTGAGGGGTCTGCCTTCCAGGCCTGGCTTGAGCAATGGGATCATCCCCCAGAGGAGGGGCTACTCAACCTCCCCGTCGTCCCCCAAGAGAGAGCTGCTTCCTGGGAAAAGGTGAGGGGTCCCAAGAGCACCTTGTACAAAGGCCTCATATTCCTCTCTCCTCCTCCTCCTCCTCCTGCTAAATCTCTTGTTATCACAATTATTTAACTGGGGGAGACTGCAGGATTACTCTGAAACGTTTCGTATTGGCTGGCTGTGTTTTAAATGCATTTTTTTTAGCATGGTTCGTGACTAGAAGCCAACCTTGAGGGGAGTTTGAGTCGTAGGTGATGAAGAAGAGAGGTGGGAAGGAAATGTACACAAATCCAAATTTCAAATTCTGAAGTGATTGGTGGTTCTTCTAAAGCTCAGTTTTTAGGAGCACTTTAATTTTAAATAGTTCTACAAATATTTACCTGGAGTAAGGGAAAACCCCTCCTTTTTTCCAATTTGAAGAGATACTCAACAACCGGGGGAGATTAGAAGTGGCTTGAATGAGGCGCTTCAAAGCCCCAGAACGCGGATAAATTTTTCCACTGGACTGGTTGGCTTCTTGTCAAAACTGGCTGTAACTTTCCTCGTTTCCCTTTCTCTCTCTGCAGACCGGTTCTGGGAGAGAGAGGGAAGGCTTAGATGCTTTTGTTTTCATTTGGCACGAATGAGAATTTAGCTTTCTCTCCCCCTCTTTTGAAAGGCCTGGTTGTGATGGGCAGGGGTTGCTTTCAGAATATTTGCTGAGCTGAAAGATGATTAAGGTTGAATGGAGACTGGCAGGTGTATATAGAACAGCACAAGAACAAAAATTAAAATGCTATCTTTAAGAATCTGCTTGAATGACTGTGGGGGGCCGCCATGTATTGAATCGGACCCAAGATCCATCGCCTTCTTGTTCCCAGTAGCTGTTAGTCAGCTGCTTAAAGGCAGGCTTCCAGTTTCTCTGAAGACAGAGAGTCCAAAGATGTGTCCAATATGCCTTTGCTGGCAAATTCACTGCCAGTGAGCCACTGCCGTTCTGCATCCATCTTGTCTTTGAATAGGGGTTACAAGGACTCAGCAGCCTAGGTCTTGCAAGGAGAGTTTCTTTGGCGCAGGGCCTCAAGTCTTTCGAAAAGCCATCTTGCAGAGAAGCTGAAATATACTCAGAGTCGAGAGTGGATTTCATGCTCTTTATTCAGCTCATAGCGGTGAGGAGGAATGGAAGTTCCCCCAGAATGTCTGCTTTATATACATTTATATTTACATTTATATTATATTATATACATTTATATACACAATGGGCTCCATGTGATTGGCTAATTCCGGGATTCTCCTGTAGGCCAATCAGGTTGTCGATTCACTTCCACCTGGAGCTGGATTGGGTGGCTCCTGTGGACCAATCAGACTGCTGCATTCTGGATCCTATTGTTCTAGGACCAATCAGACTGCTGCATTTTGGATCCTATTCTTCTAGGACCAATCAGACTGCTGCATTCTGAATTCTATTGTTCTAGGACCAATCAAACTCCTGCATTCTGGATCCTATTGTTCTAGGACCAATCAGACTGCTGCCTTTTGGATCCTATTGTTCTAGGACCAATCAGACTGCTGCATTTTGGATCCTATTCTTCTAGGACCAATCAGATTGCTGCATTCTGAATTCTATTGTTCTAGGACCAATCAGACTGCTGCCTTTTGGATCCTATTGTTCCGGGACCAATCAGACTGTTGCCTTTTGGATCCTATTCAACTCAGTACATAACAGAAGCGGTCTTGCAAAGTGCTTAGCTTTCCACGCAGCCAGCTCTCGCTCCTCGCTCGCTTCTGCTAGGCCTGCATCACGCTGCTTTCCTTCCCTGCATCCCTCTTTCTCTTCGGCCGGCTCATCCTCCCACCTGCCTGCCCCTTGCCCTTGTCTCTGCCTATATTGCTGAGGCTCTGTCTCCCACAGCGGGCGAAGCTGGGCTTCTCCAGAGCGCCCAGTCTCACTCAAGCGAGAGGGCATCAAGGACCAGAGGAGCCGCACCACTTCCTCCAGCAGCTCCTGCAGCGGGAAACGCGACGGGTACGTGTGAAAGCCAGACCCGCAAATCCATCCATGGAGCCTGCATGATCTTTATGACAATTTACACCGACATAACATAATGCTATGGGACATGCGTGGCGCTGTGGGTTAAACCACAGAGCCTAGGACTTGCCGATAAGAAGGTCAGAAGGCCGCAGTTCGAATCCCTGTGACAGGGTGAGCTCTCGTTGCTCGGTCCCTGCTCCTGCCAACCTAGCAGTTTGAAAGCATGTCAAAGTGCAAGTAGATAAATAGGTACCGCTCCAGCGGTAAGGTAAACGGTGTTTCCGTGCGCTGCTCTGGTTTGCCAGAAGCGGCTTAGTCATGCTGGCCACATGATCCAGAAGCTGTATGCTGGCTCCCTCGGCCAGTAAAGCGAGATGAGCGCTGCAACCCCAGACTCGGCCACGACTGGACCTAATGGTCAGGGGTCCCTTTACCTAACATAATGCTATGGGATGCGGGTGGCGCTGTTGGTTAAACCACAGAGCCCAGGACTTGCTGACCAGAAGGTCAGCGGTTCGAATCCCTGCGACGGGGTGAGCTCCCATTGCTCGGTCCAGCTCCTGCCAACCTAGCAGTTCGAAAGCACGTCAAAGTGCAAGTAGATAAATAGGTACTGCTCTGGCGGGAAGGTAAACGGTGTTTCCGTGCGCTGCTCTGGTTCGCCAGAAGTGGCTTAGTCATGCTGGCCACATGACCTGGAAGCTGTACGCCGGCTCCCTCGGCCAGTAAAGCGAGATGAGCGCCGCAACCCCAGACTAATGGTCAGGGGTCCCTTTACCTTTAACATAATGCTATTCTAGGCAGGAAAATAAGCTCCTCTCCCGCAGCTCTGCTTCAGCAAAGCTCATTTGACTTGCGCTAGCCCAAGCAGCGGAGTTTATTTGCTAGGGACGGGTCTTCGCTTTTAGCAGCTCAGGTTCTGCAAAACCCATTGAATCGGCTTCGCGGAGCAGCTGAGGTCTTGCAAAGTGCGCCTTGCTTCGCCTACCTAAAACCACCCTCGGGAGCGTAAACCGGAAGCAAAACGCGCCAGCCGAAAGGCGGAGAGTTGCGAGATCGGATTTCAAAGCGCGAGCAGGGAGGAAGCGATGCTTCCCTCCCCAAAACCGGATATCTCCTTCTTGAGGCGCGCCGCAACTTTTCTCCGTTCCTGCCATACCGGGTGGGGAGTTTCCTCCCCTCCCTGTCACTCTTAAAGCCACAGGTGCCCTACCAGCGCGTCTACACGCGCACAGCAGGATTCACACGTGCACGGCCATCACGCATCTTAAGCCATCCCTCGGAGCGGAACGGCTCTCGGCCCGCTAGTTGAGCCGGGGCGAAACGGCGCCTGCTTCTCGCTTGCGCTCCGTGGGAAAAACGTCCGGTTTTTTCCCAGGCGTCTGAAACAGCGCGGCCCTTCTCCCCGCCGCCTCCTCCAGCGCCGGTCCCCAGCACGTAGAGGGTTAAAGAAAGGCCCCGGCCCGGGGGAGGGAAAGTGAAAGCCAGGAAGGAGGGGAAAGTTGGAAAGTTTCCCGCCCGGGCCCCATTGCTCCGCCGCATCCCCCGGGACGCGCCTTGCAGTTAGTTGCCTTGCAGTTCCAGGCAGCCCGGGCAGGAATCCTCCCCATCGCTGCTCGGAAGAAGCCTCCCTCTCCGCCTGCGGAATATCAAATATAAAGAGCAGGAGCCCCTTTCCCCCAGCCTAAGAGCAAAGCCAGGGGCATCCACCATGAAGAAGGCGGCAGGCAGCCTCAGCCCCAGGTAAGGCGGCGTTTGCGCTGATGGAGGGGCCGCTTTGGGCCTTATTTCTTCTCCAGCCCCTATTTTCGACGCCAGGTGGATCATACAGAAGAAGAGTGCCTCTGAGCACGTGCAGAGTGCATTGAGCGCTGACCGCCCATCTCAAGGAATTGCATCCTACTCTTTAGGCCTTTTTGTTTTAAACGGGGGCGGGGGGGGGGGAGCAATGGATGATCCGCTTTGCTGTCTTCTTTCCGGGTGGGGCACCTCGGATACGGTTGCTAAGTTTGGATAGGAGTTTCTCTATGTTGAAGGGGGGGGCCAGGGAAGGGAGTTACCCAGAGTGCAGATGTTCCTTAAGACAGGTGACTTGGTTTGCTGGGCTTGGCTGGGCCTTCCACGCGAGGAATCATGAAACAGCAGAATTGTGGAGTTGAAGGGACCCTCAAGGGTCATCCAGCCCAACCCCCTTTGATGCAGGGATCAAATAATGGGGAGCTAGTTGTATGCCAGTTCTGGGAAATGAGGCCAGCCCTGGAGGAACTTAGGGTTTCAGAAACGAATCGGGTATAGGGTGGGGGACCCTTACTGGTGAAGGGCTTAGGGATCCCACAAAAAGGGGCAACAGTGGTAATATTGCACTGCCATAAGCTGGGGGGGGCTGTAAGCTGGGGGGGGCTGTTGGCATCCTGACTGGTTCTGCTGTGGGGCGGTGGCTTTAGGTGCCACTGAGTGGCAGGCGACCAGCTGGTTTCAAAAGTACTATATTAAAAATACCTTTTGGGTTTTCTGCACCCCTCCCCCCCCCCGCCATAGCAAAATGGTTTGGCCCAGTCCTGGAGGGTGAAGCCTGCAAGAAGCAGAGCATGGGTAGGCAAACTAAGGCCCGGGGGCCGGATCCAGCCCAATTGCCTTCTAAATCCGGCCCGGAATCAGTGTGTTTTTACATGGGTAGAATGTGTGCTTTTATTTAAAATGCATCTCTGGGTTATTTGTTGGGCATAGGAATTCTTCATCCCCCCCCCCATATACTCTGGCCCCCCACAAGGTCTGAGGGACAGTGGACCGGCCCCCTGCTGAAAAAGTTTGCTGACCCCTGAAGCAGAGGGTGGGATGCTCCAAGCCAATTGGATGTTGTTGTTGTTGTTTAGTCGTGTCCGTCTCTTCGTGACCCCCTGGACCAGAGCATGCCAGGCACTCCTGTCTTCCACTGCCTCCCGCAGTTTGGTCAAGCTCATGCTGGTAGCTTCGAGAACACTGTCCCACCATCTCGTCCTCTGTCGTCCCCTTCTCCTTGTGCCCTTCATCTTTCCCAACATCAGGGTCTTGGCGCCTCAGCTTCAGGATCTGTCCTTCCAGTGAGCACTCAGGGCTGGTTTCCTTCAGAATGGAGAGGTTTGATCTTCTTGCAGTCCATGGGACTCTCCAGAGTCTCCTCCAGCACCAGAATTCTAAAGCATCAGTTCTTCGGCGATCAGCCTTCTTTATGGTCCAGCTCTCACTTCCATACATCACTACTGGGAAAACCAGAGCTTTAACTATACGGGCCTTTGTTGGCAAGGTGATGTCTCTGCTTTTTAGGATGATACAGGGCTATTATTTCACTTGCAGCCCCATTTTCCTGCCTCGAACTTGCCTAAGGCCACCTGTTCTGTTTCCTGGCATTGTGCCCAAGGGGAGGGGGGCTGAATCCGCGGCCTCTCCTGCCCCCAAGCCTCCTTGCCCCATGGCCTCAGGAAACTAGAGCCTTCCCGTGCCAGATGCACAGCCCAAGGGAGGCGCAGGAATCCATCCTGGGGGGTCCTACGGCCTGTTCCTTGGTGCAGACAGGGGGCCTTGCAGTGGTGCTCTGGAAGGAGGGAGTGGGAGAGGAGGCCCATTGCCTTGGCTGATGCAAGATCCTAGCAGGATCCCCCAGAGAGAGAGAGGAAGAAAAACAGGGAGGAGGAGGCAGCCGCAGAATCCCCTGGGCAGGGCATGGAAAAGGGTGGGGAACGCCCTGCCAACTGTTACTCTAGATGGAGGGAGATAAAAGAGCCTCGGAAGACTGGCAGGGAGGTCGCCCCGCCCATCTCCAAAAGAGAGAGAGAAAGAGAGTTAGTTAACTCCTTGGTCGCTGAGTGGTGGGGGAGAGGCTGGTGGTTTAAATGTTTCTCGGAACAAAATCAAGCGGGGATAAAGTGCATTCCGGGGTCCCCAGGGCAGCCTCTTCTGCAGAGATGCTGAGAACGAACCTGGCACTCGTTGGTCGGAAAACTAGAAGGCGGGAGCAAGTTAAATTGATGCTAATCAACTGGCTAGAGGGACGTGGGTGGCGCTGTGGTTTAAACCACAAAGCCTAGGACTTGCTGACAAGAAGGTCGGCGGTTCGAATCCCCGCGACGGGCTGAGCTCCCGTTGCTCGGTCCCTGCTCCTGCCAACCTAGCAGTTCGGAAGCACGTCAAAGTGCAAGTAGATAAATAGGTCCCGCTCTGGCGGGAAGGTAAATGGTGTTTCTGTGCACTGCTCTGGTTTCTCCAGAAGCGGCTTAGGCATGCTGGCCACATGACCCGGAAGCTGTACACCGGCTCCCTTGGCCAATAAAGCGAGATGAGCGCCGCAACCCCAGAGTCGGTCATGACTGGACCTAATGGTCAGGGGTCCCTTTACCTTTAATCAACTGGCTAGTATGGAGTTTGCAGAGGTTTTACTGGTGGGCGTTATGAGCACCAAAAAAAAAGGCTTGGAAAGAAAGAGAGGTGGATTGTAGAGTTGGAAGGGACCCCTGGGGTAATAATAATAATAATAATAATTTATTTGTACCCCACCCATCTGGCTGGGTTTCCCCAGCCACTCTGGGCGACTTCCAACAAATATCACACTAAAATGTCACACATTAAAAACTTCCCTTCAGATGTCTTCTGAATGTCAGGTAGTTGTTTATCTCTTTGACATCTGGTGGGAGGGCGTTCCACAGGGCGGGCGCCACCACCAAGAAGGCCCTCTGCCTGGTTCCCTGTAGCTTTGCTTCTCACAGTGAGGGAACTGCCAGAAGGCCCTCGGCGCTGGACCTCAGTGTCTGGGCTGTACGATGGGGGTGGAGACGCTCCTTCAGATATACTGGACCAAGGCCGTTTAGGGCTTTAAAGGTCCAGTCCAACCCCCTGCAATGCAGGAATATGCAGCTGCCCTGTTTGGGAATCGAACCTGCAACCTTGGCGTTATCAGCACCACGCTCTAACCAACTGAGCTACCCCCATATCTTGAGGTGACCCCACTGGTCTCCACACTGCGCTCTGCACCGGAGACATCTGCCCCTTTGCTGGAGGGGGGCAGTCTGACTTCAACGGACCTTTAGGACTGATTTAGCAAGATACCGTATTTTTCGCTCTATAACACGCACCTGACCATAACACGCACATCGTTTTTAGAGGAGGAAAACAAGGGAAAAAACATTCTGAATGAAACAGTGGATGTATCATTTTTGTGCTTCATGCTGTGGCCACAGACATGTGATCTGATGGTGAATTTGGGGTGACCCAATGCAAAGATCCTGAGAATCCCTGTGGATCCATGCTTTGTAACCACATTTTTGCACCATTGCAGCCCCAGGCAACAGTGGGTGCGTGCTTTTTTTGGTGCAGGCTGTAGCCATGGACTTGCTATGTGATCTGATGGTGAATTTGGGGTGACCCAATGCAAAGATCCTGAGGATCCATGTGGATCCATGCTTTTTAACCATGTTTTTGCACCATTGCAGCCCCAGGCAACAGTGGGTGCGTGCTTTTTTTGGTGCAGGCTGTAGCCATGGACATGCTATGTGATCTGATGGTGAATTTGGGGTGACCCAATGCAAAGATCCTGAGGATCCATGTTGATCTATGCTTTGTAACCACATTTTAAGTGGGGAGCGAAGGAAAAACAAAGAAGGGACATGAGAGGGCAGAGAAGCAGCTGGCTAAGAATGCTGGAGAGGGATTTAACCAGTGGGAGGAAAGAAAGGCAAAAGTTCCCCCCCAAGCCAGCCATATCTCTCTCTCTCTCTCTCTCTCTCTCTCTCTCTCTTCCTCTCCCTCCCTCCCCCCCTCTCCCTCTCCCTCCCCCACTCTCTCTCCCTCTCCCCCAGCAGTACCGGAGCACAGAGAGGAATTAGAAAGAGCGACACTCTGCTTGCCTGGAGGGGAGGGGCTTTCCCTGCTCTTTGTTCCGTTTCAGCAAACACAGCAACGAAACAGAGGCGGGTGGGCAGTAAGACCCTGAGGCAGAATGCAGGAAAGCAGCCACTTCCTCTTTTCAGGTTTCCCTTCTCCGTGACTCGCGGTTTGACTTTTGCTTGATTTTTTGGCTCCAGGGACCACACATTCGCTCTATAACACGCACAGACATTTCCCCTTCCTTTTTAGGAGAAAAAATCTGCGTGTTATAGAGCGAAATATACGGTAGTTCTGCTTTCTGCATTCTTACTCGCATTTCTTGCATTGGAAGCATCAAACACTTCTGAGTCCCAGTTGCTGGAAACCACAAGAGGGGAGAGGGCTCTTGGGCTCAGATCTTTCTTGCGGGTTTCCCACAGGCCCCTGGTTGGCCCCTGTGAGATCACGATGCTGGACTGGATGGGCTCCCTTTGGCCTGATCCGCTGGGCTCTTCTTACGTTCTTCTCTGTTCCCCCATCTGGCTTCTTGCATCCTACCTTATCCTGAAGGCTGAGAGAATTCCGATAGCTGGCAGTGGAACATCTTTAAGAATTGTACTGGACTAAATGGACGCAGGTGGCGCTGTGGGTTAAACCACAGAGCCTAGGACTTGCTGATCAGAAGGTCGGCGGTTCGAATCCCCGTGACGGGGTGAGCTCCCGTTGCTCGGTCTCGGCTCCTTCCCACCTAGCAGTTCGAAAGCACGTCAAAGTGCAAGTAGATAAATAGGTACCACTCTGGCAGGAAGGTAAACGGCATTTCCGTGCGCTGCTCTGGTTCGCCAGAAGAGGCTTAGTCATGCTGGCCACATGACCCGGAAGCTGTACGCCGGCTCCCTCGGCCAGTAAAGCGAGATGAGCACCGCAACCCCAGAGTCTGCCACGACTGGACCTAATGGTCAGGGGTCCCTTTACCTTTTTAAATGTCCAGAGCTATTAAGAGTCTTCAGAGAATACGGTTCAGCCTATAAAACTTTGCCACATGCAGTTTTGGAGTCTGGGCACTTGCTTGGCAGATAATGCGCTTTTGCAAACTCCCTCGCTCCCTCACAAGCCCGCGAGCAGCATGACTGCAGAGGCCTGTTCTTCTTCTCTGAAGCACTGGCAATGCTTGGCGTGGCTTGTCGTGCTGAAGCAAACATCTCTATCGGGCTGCAAGCTGGCTTCCCCTCCGGTGGTGCCTCTCCTGCTATAGACTGATCTGCTTTGACGTCACGGAATGAGCAGCAACATTCCGCCTGCCGGGATGCGAGGATTTGTTTGACGCGGGTGCAGCCGCCGCGAGGGAAGTACAAGCCCGGCAGAGGGGAGGTGGAAGAGCGAACCACACGCAGAATCCAAGGATAGGCGGTGGGTGTATTTTAGCAGAAAGGCAGGAAGAGATGCGAGGGTCAGCTGAAAGCTGTTTGCTGCCAACGGGAGGCTGAAGATGAAGGACGGAGAATAACTCTGTAGTCGGATTGTTGCAGCAGAGATTCGCCTTCCTTTCCTCCCCCGCCACAGTCTTCCCCTTTCATCCTAACTGTCTCCTCTCTTTCCTTCGCAGCAAACCTAAAGAATCCACCTTCAGCGCTGGTGAGTAGATGCTGCCACACTTTGCAGTTTGTGGTGGGGGGAAACACCCAGGAATCCAGTCCGAGGCTGGGAGCTGGGCATGGCCTTAGAGGCCTGGAGGTCACGCGGAGTATCTGAATGGCGTGCGCCTGCATGCTTCAGGTTGTACAAAAGTCTTGAGAGACGGGGTGTGTGTGCCCTTTTAACACAGCAAGAGTTCTTAGAATAGCGGGGGGAGTAGACCGGTCAAAGAGGGAAACTCGTCTGATAAGCTTGCCTTCTGCAAATTGTCCCTTCGTGGTTGCCAGGAGGGAGGGTCTTGCTCGCCCCAAGTGATTACCGTATTTTTCGCTCCATAGGGCGCACCGGACCATAGGGCGCACCTAGTTTTTAGGGGGGGAAATAAAGAATTTTTTTTATTCCCCCCCCCCCAGCCTGAGCTTCCCCCGACCCCAGCCCCCAGAACAGGCTGCTATCCACAAGCCTTCGGAGCCGGAAGGCTTGCGAATAGCTGCCTGAAGCCTGGGGAGCACAGCGCTGCACTCCCCGGGCTTCAGGCTGCAGGCTGCTATCCGCAAGCCTTTGGAGCCCAGCGGGAACACCCGTTGCGCTCAGAAGGCTTGCCGATAGCTGCCTGAATCCAGGCTTCAGCGAAAGCCTGCATTCGCTCCATAGGACGCACACACATTTCCCCTTCATTTTTGGAGGGGAAAAAGTGCGTCCTATAGAGCGAAAAATACGGTAGCTTTCTACAAGTTTTGCTTCCGGGCGGGTGAGGTGAGAGACGGAGGAGAGCGTCTGGTTTTCGGGGAAATCAAGGCGCTCTCTTGTGTAGAGGCAGCCCCGATCCCTCTGGGCAGCTGGAGGAGGTCTTGCAAGCGTGGTTACGGGCGATGGGTGATCGTGACGCTTTCTCTCTCCCGGCGATCCGTACGCAGAGGATGGTTACGTGAAGATGTTCCTGCGGGGGCGGCCCATCCCCATGTTTGTCCCCGATGCTGTCGTCGCCACCTACAGCCTCGATGCCAAGCTGGACCTGCCCCATAAGAAGCTGAAGCTGGACTGGGTGTATCTTACTCAAAACAGTCTCCCTAGGGGGTGGGAGAGGAGAAAAGGGAGTGGGGGTGCTTGAAGAGGTTTCTGGATCTTCCCTACCTTGGCTCCCAGAGCTGGTGGCCAGGACCGCAAAGCCCATTCTCGATTCTTGTCCTTGACCCGCCGGCATCCGCTCCAGCTATGGGTATCGGGGCCGCGACTGTCGCGCCAACCTTTTCCTGCTGCCCACGGGGGAGATCGTGTATTTCGTGGCTGCCGTGGCTGTCCTCTACAACGTGGAGGAGCAGCGCCAACGCCACTACCTGGGCCACAATGATGACATCAAGTGGTGAGCGGAGGTGGGGGTGGTGAGGCGGTTCCTGCGCTGTTTCTTTCATCTCCAGCTGGAACGGCAGAAGAGGAGCGAGGGTGGGGGTGGCAAGATGTATTGCCAGTTTGCAGGTGGTGCCACTTGTAAAAATAGGAGGAGTCATTGCAAGGAGTGGGTGGGTGGCTGGTCTTTCAGAGCACCCAGTGCTCTCTCTGCGTACGAGTGTGTGACTTCTGTCCTTTCCTGTCTCACTCAGCCTGGCTGTGCACCCTGACATGGTCACCATAGCAACTGGGCAGGTGGCCGGGACTTCGAAAGATGGCAAGGTGAGGGGCAGCTGGCTATAGAGGCGGAGGCGCCAGAGATTGGGAGGTGGCGGGAAGAGAGAGGAGGAAAGGAGAAACGGGAACAGATTGCATACATTTAAATCCCCCCCTTTCAAAATAATGGGGCAGCTGAACATTTGTGTACAGTGGTACCTCAGGTTAAGTACTTAATTTGTTCTGGAGGTCCGTACTTAACCTGAAACTGTTCTTAACCTGAGGCACCTCTTTAGCTAATGGGGCCTCCTGCTGCCGCCGTACCACCGGAGCAGAATTTCTGTTCTCATCCTGAAGCAAAGTTCTTAACCCAAGGTAATATTTCTGGGTCAGCAGAGTCTGTAACCTGAAGCGTATGTAACCCGAGGTACCACTGTACTTAGGAGCTGCCCTTTATGTCTCTTTACTTTAGCATCGCTTCCCCGTCCCAGCCAAGGCAGGGAGATCCTGGTCTGCTGCTGCAGTTTCTTCCCAGTATCTTGCAGCCAGAAGTGTCTGCAACGCCTGAATGTGGTTGCACCAATCTTCTGTTGCAGCTAATAGCCGACTCCAGCCCTGCCTTCCTCTGTTCTGCTTTTAAAACAAACCTTGTGGCCAGTGCCTTTTCCAGAAGCCCCAGGTTCCACAAGTTGTTTCTGTGTTGTGTGAAGAGTTGCTTCCTTTTGTGCATCCTGATCCGGTATTCTTCCTTCCGGCAGCCTCTGCCTCCCCACGTTCGGGTCTGGGACTCTGTGAGTCTGAATACGCTCCACGTGCTGGGCCCTGGGCCCTTCGACCGAGCCGTGAGCTGCGTGGGATTCTCAAAGTCTGTGAGTGATGCTTCCCTTCCTCCCTTCTGCCAAAAAGGGGGTACCCAGAGCCCACTGTTCACCCCACAAGCTTGGGTTAGGTAGATAATGATGATGGTATTAATAATAATAAATAAATAAGGAGAGGAGTTTAGAAAGAAGAAATGCCATGGTGCATCTACAGTAGCACAACAGGACGCTTTCCTCTGCCCCAGCTGCAACAAAACATGTCTCTCCCGTATCGGTCTCTACAGCCACAGCAGGCGCTGAAACTCTCCCGTGGTTTGACTTCATCCCTGAAACCGCAATCCTCTATTGTCTCCTGAGACAGACAGAGGCCAGCAATGTGTTAAATTTGTATTCTGCCCTTCCTCCGAAGATCACAGGGCGGTTCACAACATAACAAGATACAAAACAAGAACACAAAATACATAGGAAAAACCAAAACAAACCAATAGCATCCCCTCCCACAGACACATTTAAAAGGCCGTAGATTAATCAGCCAAAGGCCTGGGAGAAGAGGAACAGTTTTGCCTGGCGCCTAAAGATATGTAAAGGGACGTGGGTGGCGCTGTGGGTTAAACCACAGAGCCTAGGACTTGCCGATCAGAAGGCCGGCGGTTCGAATCTCCTTGACGGGGTAAGCTCCTGTTGCTCGGTCCCTGCTCCTGCCAACCTAGCAGTTCAAAAGCACGTCAAAGTGCAAGTAGATAAGTAGGTACCGCTCCAGCGGGAAGGTAAACGGCGTTTCCGTGCGCTGCTCTGGTTCGCCAGAAGCAGCTTAGTCATGCTGGCCACATGACCCAGAAGCTGTACGCCGGCTCCCTCGGCCAATAAAGCGAGATGAGCGCCGCAACCCCAGAGTCGGCCACGACTGGACCTAATGGTCAGGGGTCCCTTTACCTTTAAAGATATGTAACAGAGGCTTCCCTGGGGAGAGCAGTTCCACAAGCAGGGAGCCACAGCAGAAAAGGCCCCTGATGTTGTCTCACCCCACAGAAAGCAACTGGAACCTACTCAGACCATTGGTACATCAGGCTCAGAATTACCTACACTGACTGGCAGCAGATATTCAGGATTCCAGGCAGGAACTTCTCCCAACTAGGATTGAATCTGTTTGCAAGGCAGATGCTCTAGCCCTAAGCTACGGCCCGGCCCGTTGACCGCTAGTGAGGTTGTGTTTTGTGGGGGTCTGTGTGTGTGGAAGGAAGAGGAGTTTGCAAGTTCAAGGAGCCCCAGCCTCCACCCACCTGCCTTCATATTCTGCCAAGGCACACCCTCCCCTTTCCAGTTCTCTATCAAGACTTTTTAAACCTTAGTTTTACAGAGCTTGTTCATGCATCTTCACAGAGCACTGGTTGGTCTGTTTTTTGAAGAGGGAGCTGGCATGAGATTTCTAATTAGGTTTCATTGCTAGAAATGGCTTGCCATGGTGAATCCAAGGCATTGAACGGCAGTTGTGAGGGGTGCTGCCCCTATCCCAGTACACTGGCTCCCAATACATTTCCGAGCACAATTCAAAGTGTTGGTGCTGACCTTTAAAGCCCTAAACGGCCCAGTATACCTGAAGGTTGGCATCTCCACCCGCATCGTTCTGCCCAGACACTGAGGTCCAGCGCCGAGGGCCTTCTGGCGGTTCCCTCCCTGTGAGAAGCCAAGTTACAGGGAACCAGGCAGAGGGCCTTCTCGGTGGTGGCACCCGCCCTGTGGAACGCCCTCCCAGCAGATGTCAAAGAGAAAAATAACTACCAAACTTTTAGAAGACATCTAAAGGCAGCCCTGTTGAGGGAAGCTTTTAATGTTTAATAAGTTATTGTATTTTAGTGTTTTGTTGGAAGCCGCCAAGAGTGGCTGGGGGGACCCAGCCAGATGGGCGGGGTATAAATAAATAAATAATTTATTATTATTATTATTATTATTATTATTATTATTATTATTATTATATCCATGTCTCTTTTCTCTCACCAGAACGGCGGAGGACTCTTATGTGCTGTTGATGACTCCAATGACCACGTACTCTCTGTGTGGGACTGGCAAAAGGAGCAGAAGCTAGCAGACGTGAAGGTAACTTTGCATTCCGCCCTTTTCCTTGGCCAAAATCCAGCCTTCCCTAACCTGTGGTTGGCGCTCCAGAAACACGGTCTTAACAGTGAGTCCATAAGTGACTGTGGAGGCCAGTTCTGGATCTACACGTCCTTCCACAGTGGGGACATTGGTTTCCGGGTGGGAGTTGACCCCGGTGTGGATTTGCCAAGGGTGCCTTCCTCTTAGCACGTTTCTCCCTTGCGTCCTGAGTTCGAGTGTCTTCAAAGCCCAGGACACCTTTGGTCAAGGCTGTTCTCCAACTGGAGCGCTCGCAGGCCAGTGTTTCCCAATTGTTGTTTATACTACATTTTTTTAGATTTGCCTTGAAGAGAGTCTTTAAACCTCTTTTGTTGACCACCAGCATTACGCTTCCCGTTTTTAAGTTCGGAATAGAGTAGTTGCTTTGGAAGACGATCATCAGGCATCTGCACAACATCACCAGTCCAACAAAGTTGATGCTGAAGAATCGTTGCTTCAACACGGGTGATCTTTGCTTCTTCCAGTACACTGGCATTAGTTCGCCCGTCTTCCCAAGTGATGTGTAAAAATTTCCGGAGACTCCATTGATAGAATCTTTCGAGGAGTTGGAGATGGTGTTTATACATTATGAACTAGAATTGTGAAGGGCACCAGGTTGCGCCCAGGCTGCCACAGTCTCTCCCGGCCCCTGCCTCTGGCCCCTGCATCCTGTTACATCACTGTATTGACCCCTCTCTCCTTCCTGCTCCGCAGTGCTCCAATGAGTCTGTGCTGGCCGCAACTTTCCACCCTACGGAGCCGACACTTCTCATTACCTGCGGGAAATCTCACATCCACTTCTGGACGCTGGAGGCAGGCAGCCTCAGCAAGAGGCAGGGCATTTTCGAGGTGAGAGCAGGATCGGAAGGGAGAGGGAGAAGCTGCAAAGGATTGTGGGTAGGCCAGGATTGGGGTGGTTGGTGGGCTTCCCCCCCCAATCCAGCTCCTGGTCGCATCAATAGGCTTCCACACAAGGGCTTCCTGGTGGATTCTGCACAGAAATCTTGCCCGGATCCCTCTTCAGTTCGGCGGGTTACAAACTGTATCCTGAGAAGTACAGAGACCAGTTCCCCTCTCTTCCACAAAGCACTTTGCATGGCCATGTGGGGGCAAGGGGGCTGTTCCCCCTTGTTTTCTTGGTCAGCCTCCTTTCTCCAGATGGGGTAAAACCAGGGAGAAGCCTTGTGCGACTCCACAAAACGGACACCTGCTAAAATACAGGTTTTACAGAGCATTCTAAAGATTTGAAAAATGCACGTCACACGTATTGCTTCAGTAATACAGTGGTACCTTGGTTCTCAAACTTAATCCGTTCCAGAAGTCCATTCCAAAACCAAAGCATTCCAAAACCAAGGCGCGCTTTCCCATAGAAAGTTATGCAAAACGGACTAATCTGTTCTGGACTTTTAAAAACAACCCCTAAAACAGCAATTTAACATGAATTTTACTATCTAACGAGACCATTGATCCATACAATGAAAGCAATAATCAATGTACTGTACTATAAAATAAATAAGACAGTATTGTAGATGATCCAGCGCCGAGGGCCTTCTGGCGGTTCCCTCACTACGAGAAGCCAAGTTACAGGGAACCAGGCAGAGGGCCTTCTTGGTGGTGGCACCCGCCCTGTGGAACGCCCTCCCACCAAATGTCAAAGAGGAAAACAACTACCAGACTTTTAGAAGACATCTGAAGGCAGCCCTGATTAGGGAAGCTTTTAAAATTTAATGCTGTATAGTTTTTAACACTTGATTGGCAGCCACCCAGAGTGGCTGGGGAAACTCAGCCAGATGGGTGGGGTATAAATAATGATGATGATGATAATAATAATAATAATTTTGTTTTCTTACCTGCACTGATGACAGTCATTGTTTGGACGGGAGGCTTTTATCCATTTCTACAGTCACACAATCAATCAATAGCTGAACTGGGTTCCACACAGTCACAAAAACGAATTAACTGAAAAAGCCTCAAAAACAAAAATGCAAAATAAATAGCAAAAACAAAAGCGCCAAACTTAATCCATTCCGGAACTCCGTTTGACTTCCGAAACGTTTGAAACCCAAGGCGCAGCTTCTGATTGGCGCAGGCGCCCCGGAAACAATAGCCGACAGCTGCATCGGATGTTCGGCTTCCGAAAAACATTCAAAAACCGGGACACTACTTCCAGGTTTTCGGTGTTTGAGAACCAAGGTACCACTGCATTGCTTCAGTGATAACTACAGTGGTGCCCCGCAAGACGAATGCCTTGCAAGACGGAAAACCCGCTAGACGAAAGGGTTTTCCGTTTTGGAGGTGCTTCGCAAAACGAATTTCCCTATGGGCTTGCTTCGCAAGACGAAAATGTCTTGCGAGTTCCTGCAGGTTTTTTCCTCCCCCCCCCTTTTCCCAAGCCGCTAAGCCGCTAATAGCCGCTAATAGCGCTAAGCCGCTAATGGGCTTGCTTCACAAGACGAAAAAACTGCAAGACGAAGAGAATCGCAGAACGGATTCTTTTCGTCTTGCGAGGCACCACTGTAACTGCGAGGCCAAGAGGGGGTCTGGGTTGGGCAGCCCAGGACCTCCATATGTGCTGCTCAGGCTTGCGCCCCCTAAGGTAATTTGGGCGCTGCTAATGCTGCGGTTTGGCTTCACCCCTGGAGGCGCACTCCATTGCCTCTCGAGACAAACGTATGCCAACCAACCAACATATGACCCAATTGGACCCAGCCACCATTGCTGATTTGCTTTCTTCTCTTCATTGCATGTCTACCCAGCCATTTCCTCCCAAGGAGCGGTGACATTCATGGTTCCATTCCTCCTCATTTAGTCCCCACAACAACTCTGCGAGGCAGGCTAGGCTGAGAGGGAGTGGCCGGCCCCCAAAGTCACCCAGTGAGCTTCAGGGCCAAGCAAGGATTTGAACTCTCTTCCCTCCCAGGTCCCAGTCCATAGCAAGTCACTAGCTCTCGAATTGCAGACAAGATGGGGGTTTATGCTTCATTTGCTCTTTGGGACTGGGCGGGGGGCACTTTCCCAACCCCACCCAGCCAAACCAGTTGAACCAACTGCTGTGTGTGTGCACACGGTCCTGGAGAACCAGTTCGGATCTGTTTGCTAAAGGGGTTGACTCTTAACCCTTTCTTTCGCGGTGAGCTTTCATGCCCAGGTTTCTATAATAATAATAAATTTTATTTATACCCCGCCCTCCCCAGCCAAGACCGGGCTCAGAGCAGCTAACACCCAATATAAAAACAAATTGATCAAAATGCAACTTTAAAAAGAGATTAAAATACAACATAAAAACATTAAAATGCAGCCTCGTTTCAATGGAAACTCAAATCTAAAAATTTTTTGGGATGAAAGCGTCAAGTCTTTACCAAGGCTAAGTTTCCAGACTGGTCCTATGTGGGCCAGAAAAAAGCCAGGGAAGTCCCCAAATAGGAGTTCCAATACAGAAAGAGAAAGGAAAAAAGAAAGAAAGAGGGGGAGGGAATCAAGTTGATTCCAAGCCAAAAGCCAGGTGGAACAACTCTGTCTTGCAGGCCCTGCGAAAAGAAATCAGATCCTGCAGGGCCCTGGTCTCATGAGGCAGAGCGTTCCACCAGGCCAGAGCCATCACTGAGAAGACCCTGGCTCTGGTTGAGGCTAATCTCACTTCCTTAGGGCCTGGGACCTCTAGGGTGTTGCTGTTTATAGACCTTGAGGCTCTCTGTGGGGCATACCGGGAGAGGCGGTCCCGTAGGTACGAGGGTCCTAGGCTGTGAAGGGCTTTAAAGGTCAAAACCAGCACCTTAAATCTGACCCTGTACTCCACCGGGAGCCAGTGCAACTGGAAAAGCACTGGGTGAATATGCTCCCATGGCAGAGACCCCGTGAGGAGCCTCGCTGCAGCATTCTGCACCCGCTGGAGTTTCCGGGGTCAGCTTCAAGGGCAGCCCCGCGTAGAGCGAATTACAGTAGTCAAGCCTGGAGGTGACTGTCGCGTGGATCACTGTGGCCAGATTGGGGCGGGAAAGGTGCTGTTGTCTTGCTGGCCACCTCTCCTTAGAAGTGGGGTGAAGTGGGAGCTGCATGTTGGATTTGGGGTGGGTTTCCCGCCCCCTCTCCTCCCTGTTTTTGAGGCTCACCTGTTTTCCTTCTGCAGAAACACGAGAAGCCCAAATATGTCCTGTGTGTGGCTTTCACAGAGAACGGGGACACTGTGACTGGAGATTCCGGGGGGAACCTCTACATTTGGGGAAAAGGTCAGTTTGGGAATGGGGCGAGGAGAGATGGGATTGGGTTCAGGTGCTCCTAGATAGCAGCTCTGTCTGGTTGGGCTGAATCAGTCTAGCTGGGTGCTCTTGTGTGTTTCTACACAGCTAAATTTGTGAGTTGCTGCAGAGACAAATAATTATATTACTCTTGCTGAATCCCTCACTCGCCTTTTCTCACTCATGGTTCGTTCCCTATCTCGTACCGACCAGTTTAAGTTTATTAAGCGCCTGAAAAGGGACGCGGGTGGCGCTGTGGGTTAAACCACAGAGCCTAGGACTTGCCGATCAGAAGGTCGGCGGTTCGAATCCCCACGACGGGGTGAGCTCCCGTTGCTTGGTCCCTGCTCCTGCCAACCTAGCAGTTCGAAAGCACGTCAAAGTGCAAGTAGATAAATAGGTACTGCTCCGGCGGGAAGGTAAACGGCGTTTCCGTGCGCTGCTCTGGTTCGCCAGAAGTGGCTTAGTCATTCTGGCCACTGACCCAGAAGCTGTACGCCGGCTCCCTCGGCCAATAAAGCGAGATGAGCGCCGCAACCCCAGAGTCGGCCACGACTGGACCTAACGGTCAGGGGTCCCTTTACCTTTTAATATTCCGCTTGCATAATGTTCTTGGAATGAGAAGCATAGGTTCACCGAAGAGATACCTGTCCAGCGTGGCTGCTTTAAAGCGAACTGAGCCGGGGTGGAGGGAGGGAAAGAGAGCTCTCTCGCTTTAAAGCAGCAAAGTGGGAGAGGAGAGGAGCCGCTTACACCTGTGTAAGCAACTCCTCTCCCACTTTGCTGCTTCAAAGGGAGCCACAGAGGAGGGAAGGAAGGGGAGCCACGGATCCTCTGCTCGCGACTGCAGCGGGATCCCGCCGCCATCTGTAGGCATTCAGTCCATAAGACACACATAAGACACTTCCCCTTACATTTTAGGAGGAAAAAGGTGCGTCTTATGGAGCGAAAAATACGGTGATTCCCAACACTCAGATGTGATGCCAGAAAAAACAAACAAACCAATATCTAGAGGGGCCAAGTGCATTTGGCTCAGGGGGAGAAAAGAGCCCACCTCTCCTAATAGATTTCTGAAAGAAAGGAATGAGACATTGGGGGAGGCGAATGACTCCTCTGGTGGGGGGGCTTCTTTCCTTCCCCTCCCTTGAGTGCTGCTCTTGCCATTACTTTTTGAAAAGAAACTAAGTTTGGGAGTAAAGGTAAAAGGCAAAGGTTTGGGTAGTGGAGCATAATATTATGGAAAAAGCATTTATTGATTTATTGCATTTATGTTCTACCCTTTTTCACCAAGGTGGTGTACATGGTCCCCCCCCCCATTTTATCTCCACAACAACCCTGTGAGGGTTAGGCTGAGAGGCAGTGACTGGCTCCCAAGGTCACCCAGTGAGCCTCACGGCCGAGCTGGGATTCGAACCCTGGTCTCTCAGGTTCTAGTCTGACACACCAGCCACTACCGCAGACGTGACTCTCCTTATGTCATACAGGCTCCGTTGCATCTCCAGGCAGCACTTAGGCCTCTAAGGCAGTGTTCCCCAACCTTGGGTCTCCAGCTGTTTTCGGACTACAATTCCCACCATCCTTGACCACTGGTCTTGCTAGTGAGGGATGATGGGAGTTGTAGTCCAAAAACAGCTGGAGACCCAAGGTTGGGGAACACTGCTCTAAGGCACCCTTCCCTATTCAGATGCTTTCCTGAGGTTGTGGACTTCATATCCCATCAGCCCCTGGGCCGCCACACGGCCATGCTGGCTGGGGGGCGGGCTGATGGGAATTGTAGTACAAAACAGCTGGAGGGGAGCGGGTTGGGGTAGGCTTATGGCGTCCTTGCAGATTAATAATAATAATAATAATACAATTTTATTTATATCCCGCCCTCGCCAGCTGAAGCCAGGCTCAGAGCGGCTAACAACAGTAAAAATAACACAGTTTACATAAAATCACAATCAATTAATTGAAATACATTCTGAAATCAATTCATTCCAAAATCAATTCAAATCAAATTAATGGCAACCATTGGGCTAGAGTTCTATGAGGATTCCAGAAGGAGGATTATCAGCACAAGACAAGGCAGGTATACTCAAATATAAGTCCCACTGATGGGTCAAAGGGACTTGCACCCAAGTAAGCGTGGAAAGGCTTGCAAACGGATGCTACAGCCCTGTTAGTGAAGCTGGTTTCTATTGCAGAAGAGAAATCCTTTCCAGGTTCTGTCCTGGGCAGTGGGGGAAGGTTGTCCCATCTAACAGCGTTGTCCTTTGCCTGGCAGGGGGCAACAGGATTTGCCACGCGGTGCCAGGAGCCCACGAAGGGGGCATCTTTGGCTTGTGCGTGCTGCGGAACGGGACCATCGTCACGGGAGGCGGCCGGGACCGCAGAGTCGTGCTCTGGGGACGGGATTACCAGAAGCTGCAGGAGAACGAGGTATTGCGGCCGGCTGGGTGGAGTCCTGCCTCCTTAGGGTAACAGCAGTTCATGTCTTGCTTGGACCCAGACATGGCCGAAGGTGCTGTGGAACGAGGGATCATAGAATCACAGAACTGTAGAGTTGGAAGGGGCCACAAAGGCCATCTGTTCCAACCCCCTGCCAAGCAGGAACAACACGTAACCAAACAAACCCCTGTGTTGCAAAGAGAACATCAGCAATGTCTAGGCAACACGAAGACCATGTACATATGCAATGTTGTTGTTTAGTTGTGTCTGCCTCTTCATGACCCCATGGACCAGAGCACGCCAGGCACTCCTGTCTTCCACTGCCTCCCGCAGTTTGGTCAAACTCATGCTGGTCGCTTCGAGAACACTGTCCCACCATCTCGTCCTCTGTCCTCCCCTTCTCCTTGTGCCCTCCATCTTTCTCAAGCATCAGGGTCTTTTCCAGGGAGTCTTCTCTTCTCATGAGGTGGCCAAAGTCTTGGAGCCTCAGCTTCAGGATCTGTCCTTCCAGTGAGCACTCAGGGCTGATTTCCTTCAGAATGGAGAGGTTTGATCTTCTTGCAGTCCATGGGACTCTCAAGAGTCTCCTCCAGCACCACAATATTCCTTCAAACCAGAACAAGTACAAAATGAAATCTTCAGTCTCAAAGTCTCTGAAAATCTTTAAATGAAGCGAGGTAGCAGACTTTGTACGATGAAAGACACGCTGTGAAGCTTTGTGTATTCAGCAAATATGATGTCCAACACTGAACAGTGATTCCAGATATTGACTATTGTTACGTAGAATTCTTCGTCAGCGTGGTGGGAGGATATAGAATCGCTTCAGGAACCCACCTTATTTTGAATGAATGTATGTAAATGAAAATACCAAATGCTGTGGAACAGTGCTCATGTAATAATGTAGTCACAGCATTTGATATTTGACGAAGAATTCTACGAAACAGTAGGCAAAGCTTCACAGCTTGTCTTTCATCATACAAAGTCTGGTACCTCGCTTCATTTAAAGATTTTCAGAGACTTTGAGACTGAAGATTTCGTTTTGTACTTGTTATGGTTTGAAGGAATTCTATAATAATAATAATAATAATAATAATAATAATAATAATAATAATTAATTATTTATTATTTATACCCCACCCATCTGGCTTGGCTTTCCCAGCCACTCTGGGCGGTTTCCAACCAAATATTAAAATACAGTAATACTGTAGAATATAATACAATATAAATATAATACAATATAAAGATTGTCTATTGCGTATGTACATGGTCATCGTGTTGCCTAGATATTGCCGATGCAGAAACAACACGCCAGGCCTGCGAGGCGGGACTTCTAGTTTATTGGCACAACTCTAGTAGGGGAAACAGAGGCACAAGCACTTCCTTCCTTGCTGGTTCATGTTACAGAGGTCCTCTGGTTCAGCACCTGACCTTCTGGCAGCAAATAGCCAGCTGCAAATTTATTACTTATACCCGACCCATCTGGCCAGGCCTCCCCAGCCACTCTGGGTGGCTCCCAACAGGATATTTTGTTGTTTAGTCGTCTTAGTCGTGTTCGACTCTACGTGACCCCATAAACCAGAGCATGCCTTGGAAACAGTCACTTTCTTCTCAAAGCTTCTCCATGGAGTTTTCTTGGCAAAATACTGGAGTGGTTTGCCAGTTCCTTCTCCTGGTGGATCACAGTTAGTCTAAACTCTCGGCTATGACTTGTCCATCGTGGGTGGCCCTGCAGGGCATAGCTCATCGCTTCTCTGAGTTATTCAAGCCCCTTTGCCGCAACAAGGCAGTGATCCAGGACAGGATACAGTGGTGCCCCGCAAGACGAATGCCTCGCAAGACGGAAAACCCGCTAGACGAAAGGGTTTTCCGTTTTTGAGCTGCTTCGCAAGACGATTTTCCCTATGGGCTTGCTTCGCAAGACGAAAACGTCTTGCAAGTCTTGCAATTTTTTTCCGCTCCCCCCCCCCTTTTCTAAACCGCTAATCCGCTAATAGCCTTTTAGCCACTAAGCCGCTAAGCCTTTAATAGCCGCTAAACCGCTAATAGCGCTAAGCCGCTAATAGGGTTGCTTCGCAAGATGAAAAAACCGCTAGACGAAGAGACTTGTGGAACGGATTATTTTTGTCTTGCGAGGCACCACTGTATTAGAAACACAATAAAAGATCAAACATTAAAAACTTCCCTGCACAGGACTGCCTTCAGATGTCTTCTAAAAGCCAGAGAGTTGTTTATTTCCTTGATATCTGAGGGGAGGGCGTTCCACAGGGCGGGTGCCACCACCAAGAAGGCCTTCTGCCTGCTTTGAGAGATTTATAAATGGTGCAGGATGGCATCTTCTGTTGTTAACCCCCCCCCCAGCACTTGCTAGTTGGCAGTGAACTGTCTCTGAACTGTCTCTGACCACTGTCACAGTGGTCAGATCTGCCTACAGGTGAAATCTTTTTTAAAAAAAATTAGAATGCATTCATTCAATAAACTCATTTGCTCATGTTTAACCTCAGTGGTGCTTTTTTCGGGTACCTATTTGTAAGTATTTTTTGTTTACGCAGTTAGATAAAGAAGTCTTACAAACAAAAAATACTTGCAAAAATGTATAAATTATTAAATAATATACAAATAGATCAATAAATCAAAAGTAAGAATATGTTAAGGTGGGGACAAGATTTAGGTTATGAAATTGAATACAAAGATCGGGTTAAATTTTGGACAAAAAATTATAAATTTTACAGCTTCTTATCGATTGAAAGAAAATTTCATGAAGATGCATCATAGATGGTATATGTCGCCAGACAGGTTGGCAAAAATGAAAAAATCGGGTGATAATAAGTGTTGGAGGTGTAATAGAATGATTGGAACCTTATACCATATGTGGTGGTCAAATTAAGAAATACTGGAATATGATACATGAGGAAATTAAAAAGCTAATAAAAACATCAGAGGAGGGCAACCAAAATGGTCAAAGGCCTGGAAACGATGCCTTATGAGGAACGGCTAAGGGAGCTGGGCATGTTTAGCCTGGAGAAGAGGAGGTTAAGGGGTGATATGATAGCCATGTTCAAATATATAAAAGGATGTCATATGGAGGAGGGAGAAAGGTTGTTTTCTGCTGCTCCAGAGAAGCGGACACGGAGCAATGGATCCAAACTACAAGAAAGAAGATTCCACCTAAACATTAGGAAGAACTTCCTGACAGTAAGAGCTGTTCGACAGTGGAATTTGCTGCCAAGGAGTGTGGTGGAGTCTCCTTCTTTGGAGGTCTTTAAGCAGAGGCTTGACAACCATATGTCAGGAGTGCTCTGATGGTGTTTCCTGCTTGGCAGGGGGTTGGACTCGATGGCCCTTGTGGTCTATTCCAACTCTAGGATTCTATGATTCTATCACATAATAAAAAGCGAATCACCACTTGCAAACTGTTTCGGATGCACGTCTCTGCTAGCCCTGTCTGGGCATCTTCTGCGCTCCCTGAGGGGGTCTCTGTTTTCCTCTCCCTATAGGTGCCTGAGGGATTTGGGCCAGTGCGCACCATTGCGGAGGGAAAGGGCGACTCCCTCTTTGTGGGCACCACCCGCAACTCAGTGCTCCACGGATCGTTGGCGACTGGCTTCTCCCTCCTAGTGCAGGTAATATAACACGCCCATCTGGCTGAGTTTCCCCAGCCACTCTGGGCGGCTCCCAATCGAATGTTAAAAACTATACAGCAGTAAATATTAAAAATTTCCCTAAACAGGGCTGCCTTCAGATGTCTTTTAAAGATAGGATAGCTGCTTATTTCCTTCACATCTGGTGGGAGGGCGTTCCACAGGGCGGGTGCCACCACCGAGAAGGCCCTCTGCCTGGTTCCCTGTAACTTGGCTTCTCGCAGGGAGGGAACTGCCAGAAGGCCCTCAAAGATGGATCTCAGTGTCCGGGCAGAAGGATGGGGGTGGAGACGCTCCGTCAGGTATACAAGGTAAGGAAGAGGGCAGCTACTGCGCAGGTTTATGTCTGGATTCGAAGAGGTGCGGTGACTGGGATCACTGATGTACCACTGGGGTGACTGATAAGGATCCCAAAAGAGCTCTGCCGGATTAGGCCAATGGCCCTTCTGAACCAGCGTCCTGTTCTCACAGTGGCCAACCAGGTGCCCCAAGGGTAAACCCGCAAGCCGGACCCGAGTGCGAGAGCGGGTCTCCTCTGCTGTGCTGTCCAGCAACTTGCGTTGCTCCCTCCAAATGTGGAGACCTTCATCACGGCTAGTAGCCATCAATAGCCCTCTCCTCCTCCATGAATTTATCTAGTCTTCATTTAAAGCCATCCTTCTTGGTGGCCATCGCTGCCTCCTGTGGCAGGGAGTTCCATAGGAAAACATTCATCAAGAAACAGATAAAAGTTCCTTTAAGTTTTAAAGAGGGTTCCAGAATTTTCTTTAGTGTGTGGGAGTGGCACTCGTGGCTTGATGGGTGTCAGCTGGAGGTGTGGATAAAGGGAGGAAGCTGCAGGGAGGTGTGGATAAAGGGAGGAAGCTTGATGGGTGTCAGCTGGAGGTGTGGATAAAGGGAGGAATTTCAGCACGAGGAAAGCACACACACGCACGCTGAGTTTATACTGTGCTGGAGAGAGATATTTAATTTTTTAATTTAATTTAATTTATTATTTATACCCCGCCCATCTGACTGGGTCTCCCCAGCCACTCTGGGCGGCTTCCAAAAGAATATCAAAAACAATACAGCGCCAGACATTAAAAACTTCCCTAAACAGGGCGGCCTTCAGTAGTCTTTTAAAAGTAAAATAGTTGTTTATTGCCTTGACATCTGGTGGGAGGGCGTTCCACATGGCGGGCGCCACCACCGAGAAGGCCCTCTGCGCTGGACCTGTGTCTGGGCAGAACGATGGGGGTGGAGATGCTCCTTCAGGTATACAGGGCTGAGGCCGTTTAGGGCTTTAAAGGTCAGCACCAACACTTTGAATTGTGCTCGGAAACGTACTGGGAGCCAATGCAGATCTCTCAGGACCGGTGTTATGTGGTCTCGGCGGCCGCTCCCAGTCACCAGTCTAGCTGCCGCATTCTGGATTAGTTGCAGTTTCCAGGTCACCTTCAAAGGTAGCCCCGCATAGAGCGCATTGCAGTAGTCCAAGCGGGAGATAACCAGAGCATGCACCACTCTGGCAAGACAGTCTGCGGGCAGGGAGGGTCTCATCCTGCGTACCAGATGGAGCTGGCAGACAGCTGCCCTGGACACAGAATGGACCTGCGCCTCCATGGACAGCTGTGAGTCCAAAATATAGAAGGCATGTAAATGGTTTGTATATATTTGTAATAAATGGTTGTGCAACCAGTCAAGTAATAAAGAAGCTCTTGACTGAGGAATTTGAGTAGGACTCCTGTTCTTGTTGTCTGCCTCCGGGGAAATACTCTGCTATAAACAGTGAGAAGTGGTTTTGCCAAGGTGGCGCTGTGGGTTAAACCACTGAGCCTCTTGAGCTTGCGGATCAGAAGGTCGGCGGTTTGAATCTCCACGACGGGGTGAGCTCCCATTGCTCAGTCCCTGCTCCTGCCAACCTAGCAGTTCAAAAGCACATCAAAGTGCAAGCAGATCAATAGGTACCACTCTGGCGGGAAGGTAAACGGCATTTCCGTGCGCTGCTCTGGTTCGCCAGAAGCGGCTTAGTCCTGCTGGCCACATGACCCGGAAGCTGCACGCCGGCTCCCTCGGCCAATAAAGCAAGATGAGCGCCGCAACCCCAGAGTTGGTCACGACTGGACCTAATGGTCAGGGGTCCCTTTACCTTTAAAGGCAAGGGAAAAGGGGTAAAGTCACTCATAAAAAGATCGCTATGGATCAGAACAGCAGCACAGAGAAATCTCCGTCTTCCCTTCCAGAGGTCATACAACAATGGAGGGCAGGAGTCAGTTTTAGCGACACTAAGCAAAGGGAGCCAGAGATCGACTGTGATCTACCAAAACCTCGCAGGGATCTACCAGTAGATCACGACCGACCTGTTGGACATCCCTGTTCCAGAGTGATAAGAGAGGGAGAAAAGTTTCTCTCCACTTTCGCCATGCTGTGAATAATTGTACGAACTTGCACCTTGTCGCCTTTTACTCCAAACTATTAAAAAAAGTCCCAAATGCTGCAGTCTTCCTTCAACGGACGACCCTTGATAGTTTTGCCTGCAGTGGGAGACCTGGGTGACCGTAGTCTTTCTCTCTCTCTCCCTTTTCCCCAGGGACACACGGAAGAACTTTGGGGCCTGGCCACCCACCCGGCTTTGGACCAGTTCCTGACCTGCGGGCAAGACAAGCAGGTTCACCTGTGGAGCGTGGCCACCCACCAGCCCCTGTGGAGCAAGGGGATCGAGGTGGGTTTTGTGCCGGGTGGGGGGCAGAGGGGAGGACTGGGTTGGGCATTCCGTGGGGGGTTCTATGTGAGGCTGAGGATGGGGAGGTCTTGTCCTCTGGGCAGCCTAGGACCTCCAGACACACTGCCCAGGCTTGCGCCCCAGGGAGATCACTTGGGTGATGCCAATGCAGTTCCGTGGGATCCCTCCCTCCCCAATTCCCTGGTGACATAAAATGGTTCCCACGCTTAGTGCTATACATCCCATAATTGCACTTCCTTTCCTGCAGGACGCGGCTCGCTCGGCTGGATTCCATCCCAGCGGCTCTGTTCTAGTGGTGGGCACCGTAACTGGCAGGTAATTATTATTATTTACAGTGGTACCTCGGGTTACAGATGCTTCAGGTTACAGACCCCGCTAACCCAGAAATAATACCTCGGGTTAAGAACTTTGCTTCAGGATGAGAACAGAAATTGTGCTCCGGCAGCGCGGCAGCAGCAGGAGGCCCCATTAGCTAAAGTGGTACCTCAGGTTAAGAACAGTTTCAGCTTAAGAACGGACCTCCAGAACGAATTACCGTAAGTTCTTAACCCGAGGTACCACTGTATTGGACGCAGGTGGCGCTATGGGTTAAACCTCAGAGCCTAGGACTTGCCGATCAGAAGGTCGGCGGTTCGAATCCCCGCGACGGGCTGAGCTCCCGTTGCTCAGTCCCTGCTCCTGCCCACCTAGCAGTTCGAAAGCACATCAAAGTGCAAGTAGATAAATAGGTACCGCTCCGGTGGGAAGGTAAATGGCGTTTCCTGTGTGCGGCTCTGGTGCGCCAGAAGCGGCTTAGTCATGCTGGCCACATGACCCGGAAGCTGTACGCCGGCTCCCTCGGCCAGTAAAGCAAGATGAACGCCGCAACCCGAGAGTCGGCCGCGACTGGACCTAATGGTCAGGGGTCCCTTTACCTTTACCTTTACCACTGTATTAGATTTGCAAACCTGCCTTATACCCACATGTCTCAAGGTGGTTCACAGGATAAAATCGCAATATAAAAACACAAAATGCATAATAAAAATGGAAACAGGTCTCCCCCAAGTCCTAGTCTGGCACTCTAACCACTGCACCACACTGGCTGGAAGAGGTGGAACAGTAGGATCCCACCCCGCCCCCCAAAAAGCCAATTTCCTTAGGGTGGGCCATGAACTCTCAACCTGCACAAGTATTTTTGGACGGGGTCAGAATCGGTTTTATGTTTCCCGCCCACCACCAGTGCTGCCCCCGTGTATCTCACTGCGCCCATAGGCCTCTGCGAATGGCAACTTCTCTCGCCACTGGAACACAGAGGAAGCTGCCTTAAACTGAGTCAGTCCATCTCGATCAGTTCTGTCTACACTGACAGGCAGCATCACTCCAGGGCTTCGGACAAGGGCTGCCCCCGGCCCTGCCTGGAGATGATTGAAATTTGCATACCATTCTTCACCCAAGGTTCACAGGGTGGTTCACAATACAGTGGTACCTCGGGATGCGAACGGGATCCGTTACTTCCGGGTTGCTGCGGAGCGCAACTCGAACACGCTCAACATGAAGCATATTCAACCTGAGGTATGACTGTACAGTGGTACCTTGGGTTACAGATGCTTCAGGTTACAGACTCCGCTAACCCAGAAATAGTACCTCGGGCTACGAACTTTGCTTCAGGATGAGAACAGAAATCGCACCGCAGCAGCAGGAGGCCCCATTAGCTAAAGTGGTACCTCAGGTTAAGAACAGTTTCAGGTTAAGAACGGACCTCCGGAACGAATTAAGTATGTAACCAGAGGTACCACTGTATTAGAAATACAAAACAAGAACACAAAATTCGTAATAAAACGAAGCACATTTAAAAGGCCGTAGAACGTTAACCAGCCGAAAGCCCTAAAGAGAAACATTTTCTCCTGGCGCCTGGAGATACGTAACGAACATGCCAAGCGAGAGATTAGACCTGAGTCCTTCTGCATGTAAGGCAGGTGTCCCCCCCTCTGAGGAGGAGTTTGGATTTGATATCCCGCTTTATCACTACCCTAAGGAGCCTCAAAGCGGCTAACTTTCTCCTTTCCCTTCCTCCCCCACAACAAACACTCTGTGAGGTGAGTGGGGCTGAGAGACTTCAGAGAAGTGTGACTGGCCCAAGGTCAGCCAGCAGCTGCATGTGGAGGAGCGGAGATGCGAACCTGGTTCCCCAGATTACGAATCTACCGCTCTTAACCACTACACCACACTGGCTCTCTGGCCCTTCCCCCAAATCAGTCCAACAGATATGATTATTATTTTATCTCTGAGGAGTCTCTTCCTCCCCTCCTGTCCTGCCACCACACAGCCAAAGAAACTGTCGTGTGTTGTTTAGCACCCCCAAGGCACACTCACTCTCCATCCTACGAAAGGGGGAGAGAAAGAGAGCGCTTCTGGACCCACAACTTAGATACTGGAAGCAGGGAAGGTGCAGTGTTATGGTTCTGGACAGTCAAGAGTTAACACTCCAGGAGAGTTCTTATTAACGGGGTGCACTGTCCACACGATCTGGGCATTTTCCTTTGATCTGTGCTCTCTGGGGGCTGCAGAGAGCAGTCCGTCTGAGAATGTGAGCAAGGTAGTTTTGTTTTGTTACAGACAGAAAGCTGCGAACGTGTAGCTAGATTCTGTAGGTTTTTCTTTTCTGTTTTTGTATGCTTCTAAATAAAGAGACGCGGGTGGCGCTGTGGGTTAAACCACAGAGCCTAGGACTTGCCGATCAGGTCTGCGGTTCGAATCCCCGCAATGACGGGGTGAGCTCCCGTTGCTCGGTCCCTGCTCCTGCCAACCTAGAAGTTTGAAAGCACGTCAAAGTGCAAGTAGATAAATAGGTACCGCTCCGGCGGGAAGGTAAATGGCGTTTCCATGCGCTGCTCTGGTTTGCCAGAAGCGGCTTAGTCCTGCTGGCCACATGACCTGGAAGCTGTACGCTGGCTCCCTCGGCCAGTAAAGCGAGATGAGTGCTGCAACCCCAGAGTCGGCCACGACTGGACCTAATGGTCAGGGGTTCCTTTACCTTTACCTAAATAAAGGGTGTTAGATTAGAAGCACTGGTGTCGAGCTGAGTTATTGAAGACACCACGTCGACACAGACAAAGCCATTTTACGCTGCGTGTGAACTCTGCTACTATCCGGCAACTGAGAAGAGTGGCAGCGTGCGAGTGGAAGCGTGTGGGCGCCATTGAAGTTTGCCGGAGTGGCAATAAATCAAATGTATTGCAGTGCCGTTGCAGCAAGACTCAGTGGGTCAAAGGATTTACGACCCACAAACTTTAACATGCAGAAATCCAGCTTCCGGCGCTGTTCTCTGCTTTGATCCCGGCATCTTCAGCTGCTCTGACCTCCTGGAAAACTTTCCCCTCCCCTCTCTGCTTCAATTCAGGTGGCTGGTGCTGGACACGGAGACCCGAGATCTGGTGACCATTCACACGGATGGAGGGGAGCCCATTTCTGTGGTCAGCTTCTCCCCAGGTAGGAGATGGGGGGGGAGGGAGGGGTACGGAGGGAGGAGCCAAGAGGTGGGTTTGGAAGGAAGGTTGCGGCAGAATCCTACTGGGATCTCTTGGTTTGTCTTTGCATTTAGCTGCTGCTGCTGCTGTTGTTGTTGAATTGTGACGTCTGCTAGTAGCATTTTTTCCACCTGGGAAAGGCAAGCAGAGCATTCGTTGTTAAGATAGGAGGGCTTGTCGTCTTGGTTCGTTCCTCCATTCTTGATGGAAGGAGTGTAAAGAGCTTTGGATCAGACCAAAGATTTGGCTAGTTGGCTGGTGGGAGAGGGCGTCCAGTCTCCCAGTGACCAGCCGAATGCCTATGGGAGCCCACAAGCAGAACATGAATTCAATTGCGCTCTCTCCCTCCTGCGATTCCCAGCAAATTGTTATTATTATTATTATTATTAATTGAATTTATATTCAGCCCTATACCCAGGTGTCTCAGGGCGGCTCACAGAATAAAATCAAGATATAAAACCACAAAATACCTAATAGAAATAAAAACCATGTAATAGCCGTCCCCCCAAAAAAACACATTTTAAAAGGCTATAGGATGTCAATCAGATCAGCCAAAGGCCTGGTTAAAAAGGAATGCTTTTGCCTGGCGCCTAAAGGTGTATAATGAAGGCGCCAGGCGAACTTCCCTGAGGAGAGCATTCTACAGACGGGGAGCCACTGCAGAAAAGGCCCCGTTCTCATGTTGCCACCCTCCGGACCTCTCGAGGAGGAGGCACACGAAGGAGGGCCTCAGAAGATGATTTCAGGGTCCGGGTAGGTTCGTATGGGAAGAGGCAGTCCTTGAGGTATTGCGGTCCTGCGCCGTTTAAGGCTTTATAGGTCAAAACCAGCCCTTTGAATTGGGCCCAGAAGTTAACTGGTGTAATATGCTCATACCGTCTTGAGCAACCTGGCCGCTGAATTGTGCACCAGCTGAAGTTTCCAAACCGTCTTCAGAGGCAGCCCTACTTATAATACGATGGGATTTGGAGGGACACTGAATCCCAGAGATATGTTGTTGCACTGTTCAATTTGTTTTTAACAATGCTTATGCAATTTTCTTTAAAAAAATTGCCGGGTTGGGAATATTCTCTGGGACCTTTTCAGTGGAAAGCAATGTTCAAATATTACCAAAAAAAACTAAGCCTATTGGAACTGACTCCTTCGGAAGGTGGTGGACTCTCCTTCCTTGCAGGTTTTTAAATAGAGGTTGGATGTCTGTCCGTCACAGATGCTTCAGCTGAGATTCCTGCATTGCAGGGGGTTGGACTAGATGACCCTCGGGGTCCCTTCCAACTCTACCACTCGCTGATTCTAAGTGTGCACTGGAGACTAAAAATTCTGAGCTGCATTGAGACCCCCATTTTGCCTTCCAGTGTCTGCCCACCCCTCCAGTCCCCTGACTCTTGCTTTTGTGCTTTGCAGATGGCAAATACCTGGCCCTGGGCTCCCACGACAACTTTGTCTACATCTACCTGGTTTCTGAGGGTGGCAGGAAGTATGGGCGTGTCGGCAAGTGTTCGGTGAGTGGAGGCAGAACCAGAGACAGAACTGCATTCTGCCCAGAAAGATTTCCTTCCTTCCTTCCTTCCTTCCTTCCTTCCTTCCTTCCTTCCTTCCTTCCTTCCTTCCTCCCTCCTTGACTTCCTTTCACCCAAAGGTTGTTGTTGTTGTTTAGTTGTTCAGTCGTGTCCGACTCTTCGTGACCCCCTGGACCAGAGCACGCCAGGCCCTCCTGTCTTCCACTGCCTCCCACAGTTTGGTCAAACTCATGCTGGTAGCTTCGAGAACACTGTCCCACCATCTCGTTCTCTGTCGTCCCCTTCTCCTTGTGCCCTCCATCTTTCCCAACATCAGGGTCTTTTCCAGGGAGTCTTCTCTTCTCATGAGGTGGCCAAAGTGTTGGAGCCTCAGCTTCAGGATCTGTCCTTCCAGTGAGCACTCAGGGCTGATTTCCTTCAGAATGGAGAGGTTGGATCTTCTTGCAGTCCATGGGACTCTCAAGAGTCTCCTCCAGCACCAGAATTCAAAAGCATCAATTCTTTGGCGATCAGCCTTCTTTATGGTCCAGCTCTCACTTCCATACATCACTACTGGGAAAACCAGAGCTTTATATCGAGGGCACCAGTTTGACAAAGGCTGCCATATTAAGGTAGCAAAACACTGTAATATTGCAAGTGGGCAGCAGAGGGAGCTGCTCTGTCAGATTTAGGGGTCCAGCCAGCCGTACAGTATGTCTTTTTTAAAAAAATAAAATAAAATTATCCTTTTAAAAAATGGATAATGGTTTGTGGTGCTTCACTCCTCTGGGCAGGTACGGCTGTCCACAACAGCCTGATTTCCTGGGCTTTTTTTGACTTGGCCCCAGGAGATGCTGAACAACATGAGCCTCTGGCCATGCGCAGAGTGTCCACCTCATCTGGGCACAGCGAGGAGATTAGCAGGGCACACGGTGGCCGTGAGTGCCAGGGTCCTTTGCCTTGAATGGAAATAAAACGCTCTGGGCTCGGTTGGTTAGAGCGTGGGGCTGATAGCGCCAACGTCGCAGGTTTGATCCCTTTATGGGACAACTGCATAATATTGCATTGTAGGGGGATTGGACTAAGATGATCCTTGTCCCTTCCAAGTCAACGATTCTGTGGTTTCTAAGGGGTTGTAGAGCAATAAACAACAATAATAATAACAATAAATTTTTATTTATACCCCGCCCTTCCCAGTTCAAAAACTGGGCTCAGGGCGGCTAACTACAAATTTAAAACACTTAATTATAAAAGCAGCATAAAATACAGTATAAAAACATGAATAACAATAAAATTCAAAAATAATCAATCAGATAATCCCCAGGGCTAGCTGTTCTGAATTGGTCCTACTTGGGCCAGTGAGGAGGCCAGGGGAGAATTAGCTGTGGGGTCTCAGAGCGGGTGATCTTCATAAAAGGGGAGGGGGAGGGAAGAGAAGGAAAATAAAAGATCAGGCTGAATTCAAATTAAAGGCCAGGTGGAATAGCTCTGTCTTACAGGCCCGGGGGAAGGAGGTTAAATCCTGAAGGGTCCTAGTCTCACGGGACAGAGCATTCCACCAGGTCGGAGCCATCACTGAGAAGGCCCTGGCCCTGGTGGAGGATAGTCTGACTTCCTTAGGGCCCAGGACCTCTAAACTATGGTTATTCATGGACCTTGAGGTCCTCTGCGGGGCAGACCAGGAGAGGCGGTCCTGTAAATATGAGGGCCCTAAGCCACAAAGGACTTTAAAGGTCAAGACGGGCATCTTGAACCTGACCCTATACTCCACCAGGAGCCAGTGCGACTGGTAAAGCACTGGGTGAATATGCTCTCTTGGCAGGGACCCTGTGAGGAGCCTCGGGGTTATGTGTGTAACAGGAAATGTTCCCCTTGCAGGTGTGTGTGTGTGTCTGTCAATCAATCAATCAATCTAAAATCTCCCCTTTGCTCTAGGGCCACTCCAGTTTCATCACCCATCTGGACTGGGCCTTTGACAGCAGCTGTTTGGTCACCAATTCTGGTGATTACGAAATCCTGTACTGTGAGTATAGAGTTTGGGTTCTTGTTCTTAGCGCCACCTTTGCGCTAAGAGTGGGACTAGGAGGCGTCCTCCTTATCAGACGATCTCCTTTAGAGTCTGTTTCCACAACCTGAGATCTCTGCAGAAGGAACAGCCCAGGTTCTGATGGCGTTACGTGCTTTACATTTTCTTGTCTGTGTCTCCTTCCTCCTCCTCCTCCTCCCTCCCTACAGGGGACCCCTCCACCTGCCGCCAGATCACCAGCGCTGAGGCCGTCCGCAACATGGACTGGGCCACGGCCACCTGCGTCCTGGGCTTTGGGGTTTTTGGTGAGTGTCGCCTGGCTGGGTGGGTGGTGTGAGCAAGAAATATAATAATAATAATAATAATAATAATAATAATAATAATAATAATAATAATTATTTATTTTTTATACCCCACCCATCTGGCTGGGCTTCCCCAGCCACTCTGGGCGGCTTCCAACAAAATATTAAAATGCAGTAATGCACCAAACATTAAAAGCTTCCCTAAACAGGGCTGCCTTCAGAAAGGCTCTGCAGGCCTCCCAAAACCAAGGCACACACTTCATCCTTTAACCCCCTCAGACATGATGATGCCCTTGGCTCCGCCCAGAAGCACAAATGGAAGAAATAATTATAACAACAATAATTATTTATACCCCAGTCGTCTGGCTGGCCAGGGGTGGTGGTCAGAGCTCCCCCACTTCCTCTTCTTAATAAATGATTTGTTTTCAAACTGTGAAAACGTCGGCTAGCAACCCCCTCATTACCGCTAAACCAGGCAGAATAGGATATGGCAAATGCCCCTTACAGACCGCCCCCTCCCCACTCCTGCCAGTTCTTTCGGCCATGCGGGTTGTTGGCCCAGCAAGCAACAGAGGGTTTTTGTTTGGGCATTGCAGGTTATGATGCACAAAACGGGAAAACAGGATGGGTTGGCGGGATGTTACAGCTTCTTTCCCCTGTATAGGGAAGCTTTTTAATGTTGGATGTTTCGCTTTGTTTCTGTATATGTTGGAAGCCGCCCAGAGTGGCTGGTGCAACCCAGTCGGATGGGCGGCGTGCACATAAGAAAATTATTACAGTCGTACCTTGGTTGTCAAACGCCTTGCGACTCAGACGTTTTGGCTCCCAAACGCCGCAAACCCAGAAGTGAATGTTCCAGTTTGTGAACGTTCTTTGGAACCCGAACGTCCGACGTGGCTTCTGATTGGTTGCAGGAGCTTTGGATTCTGAACGTTTTGGAAGTCAAACGGACTTCTGGAACGGATTCGGTTCTACTTCCAAGGTTGTTGTTGTTTAGTTGTTCAGTCATGTCCGACTCTTCGTGACCCCCTGGACCAGGGCACGTCAGGCACTCCTGTCTTCCACTGCCTCCCACAGTTTGGTCAAACTCATGCTGGTAGCTTCGAGAACACTGTCCCAACATCTCGTCCTCTGTCGTCCCCTTCTCCTTGGGCCCTCCATCTTTCCCAGCATCAGGGTCTTTTCCAGGGAGTTTGTCCATGGAGTTTTCTTGGCAGGGATACTGGAGTGGCTTGCCAGTTCCTGCTCCAGGTGGATCACGTTTGGTCAAAACTCTCCACTATGACCTGTCCATCTTGGGTGGCCCTGCACGGCATAGCTCATAGCTTCTCTGAGTTATTCAAGCCCCTGGATCACAGCAAGGCTGTGATCCATGAAGGGGACTTCCAAGGCACGACTGTATTATTACTACTGTTGTTTCCGCCGCTGACTTTTCTCTGCCCTGTTAGGGATCTGGCCGGAGGGTGCGGACGGCACCGACATCAACGCCGTCTGCCGCTCCCACGACGGGAAGCTCCTGGCGTCTGCTGACGACTTCGGCAAAGTGCACTTGTTCTCCTACCCTTGCTGCCAGCCGCGGGTGAGCCTCCCGCCCCACCTCCCCAGGGTCTCTTACCCTCTCGTCTTGCCCCGATCCTTTCCTTCTGCTCTCATTCTATGTACCCAATCCCAGAAGCCAGAACAGCAAGAGGGATCGCTGCGCAGTGAAAGCAGCAATCCCTCTTGCTGTTCTGGCTTCTGGGAAAGCTGTGCAGCCTGCATTCGCTCCATAAGACGCACACACATTTCCCCTTACTTTTTTGGAGGGAAAAAGTGAGTCTTATAGAGCAAAAAATACGGTAACCTGAAAGTGGGCAAGGGGCGTCCTGAGATTTCCGCACCAACCTCTCTTGGCTCGTCTCTTTCCCAGTTGCTCGCGGCATCCGCCACTCAACCCCATCCCCCCCCCCCCGGTTTCCGCAGTGCCTGCGTGTCTGGGTTGCCCCCCATCCTTAGCCCAGTGGTTCTCAAAAAGATTTCTCTGGTCCACACCTTGAGAATAAAAAATGCTCATAGCACACCGATTTTTTAAATATAAGAAATACGTTGGAGGACAAAAAACAACTCGTTGAATTATAACATAGAGCATGACTGCTTTATAATGTTATCATGGGACACACAGCAAATATAGAAGCGTGCAGCTGCATAAGAATGTGAATCATTCCCCAAATACAATTATAAACAAGCCTATATGTACCTTAAGTATGTATGCAAACTCAGGGAGAAGTATGAGCTCACTTTCGCTGGGTGATCTCATTTATAGGATGAGATTGTCCTCAATATCACTCGATGCTCTCATTTTGAAAAGACATCTATCCATATTCTGCAGAGGAGAAAGAAACTGTAGTGTATTACACTGAAATGTTTAAATGTTTATAAATAATAATAATAACAATAATAATTAATAATAATAATAATAATAATAATTTATTATTTATATCCCGCCCATCTGGCTGAGTTTCCCCAGTCACTCTGGGCGGCTTCCAATCAAGTGTTAAAAACAATACAGCATTAAATATTAAAAACTTCCCTAAACAGGGCTGCTTTCAGATGTCTTTTAAAAAGAAGATAGCTGCTTATTTCCTTCACATCTGAAGGGAGGGCGTTCCACAGGGCGGGTGCCACCACCGAGAAGGCCCTCTGCCTGGTTCCCTGTAACTTGGCTTCTCGCAGTGAGGGAACTGCCAGAAGGCCTTTTGCGCTGGACCTCAGTGTCCGGGCTGAACGATGGGAGCGGAGATGCTCCTTCAGGTATACTGGGCCAAGGCTGTTTAGGGCTTTCAAGGTCAGCACCAACCCTTTGAATTGTGCTCGGAAACGTACTGGGAGCCAATGCAGATCTCTCAGGACTGGTGTTATGTGGTCCCGGTGGCCGCCCCCAGTCACCTGTCTAGCTGCCGCATTCTGGATTAATTGCAGTATTTGATTGTCTTGGAATCTCCCCCCCCCAGCCCCACTTGCCATCCTCGGAGTTACAAGCTTGGTGGATCAGGGGAACGCAGTGGACATAGTGTATCTTGATTTCGGGAAGGCTTTTGACAAGTGGGGCGGCCGGCCTTTGCGTGTGGGGTTTCTCCTGCCCTCTCCTGAGACCCCTTTCCTCTCTCTTGCTCCAGGCCCCCAGCCACACGTACAACGGCCACAGCAGCCACGTCACCAACATTGCCTTCCTCCACGATGACAGCCTGCTGCTCTCCACCGGTGGGACCGACACCAGCATCCTCCAGTGGCGACTCGTTTAGGGGAAGGGCAGGGGGGGCAAGCGGGGCTTTTCCCCTCCCAGGGGGAGGGAACGGGGCAACGAGTAGGGTTGGGGGTGGGGTTGGATCCTATTAAACACTTTTTTGAGGTTGGGAGTGACAGCAATGTGTCGTGGGGGGGGAATTGTGGAAAGAGGAAGATTTAAAGAGAGGATACGGCGGAGCTATATTTTACAGACATCTCTATATGAATAATGATAATATATATCCAGATCTATCTCTATATATCTATATTTAAAGGCTGAAGGTTGCACAGGCTGAGAATGTGACGGTGTTGGCGGGGGGGGGGCCTATTCCCAAATTGTGAGGCAGCCCCTGCTCCCCTCCTTAAAGAAATCACGGAGGGAGAAGCTGCCACCCGCAGATTTCGCTCTCCTCCCCAGACTATGGATGTCAAGCAGTTTGAGACCTGCTTTGACTGGCGAGGCTTTTGATTCCAGCTCCCTCAATCTCCCCCATTCCCTATCCCACTCAGAGCTTTGCAAAGAGGCATTGAGTGAGGGAGCCAAGAGTCCTTTTTTTGCTTTTCCGGACATCCTTCTCCTCCTCCATGAATTTGCTCATCTTCCTTTGAAGCCACCTGTATCCCTCCATCACATTCCCCGAATCGGTGCTTTGGAGAAGGGCTTTCTCTCACCTGCCCTGGGTTTTCATGCAAAATGGGCCTTGCCCCCCACTTTATGTGTGCAGCCATGAATTAAGACGGCTGCCCTTTCGCGCCACGACATCGGACTTGGCCAGGCTTCCCTAACTGGCTGGGGGATGGTGGGAAATTGTATATTCCTAAACTGACGGAGGGCGTCAGGTTGGAGATGGGTGAATAGCAATATTGGGAGCAGAGGAATCCCTTGTCGCTGTCTGAATCAGAGGAAAAGGAGAGGCGTCCTGGGGAGCTAAGTCTGAGGGCATGGAGACAACATAGTCTCCTTTTTTAAAACTCCCAACAGAGTCACATTTTCAGCCCAGGTTGGCGGTATTTTGCACTGGACATATTGATGGTTTGGGGACGGGGTTGGGGGCACGCGTTTTTGGCAATTTCAGGGCACGACGAGGAGCAGGAAGGTGGAAGGGGAGGGGCAAAGCATGTCTGTCTGTCTGTCTTCTGTATTTTCCAAAGAAAATGTGGCAGAGCTTAGAAAGCTGTTTAATAAGAATACGACAATAAAAAGAGACCTAACAACGCACACACACACACGCCTTCCTGTGTGTAAATGTCATTGTCAGGGGCAACTCCTGAACCTTAAACAGACCTCACAGGGTGAGCCTAAACAAGCAGTGCTTTTCCGAGGTCAGGTATGCGGTCGAATGCGCTCGCGGCGAATTTGTTTGCCCAATGAATGTCACGCTGCCTGGAGCAACAGGAGCCTGGGGTAGCTCAGATGGTGACAGCATGGCACAGGTTTGATCGCCGTATGGGACAGCTGCATGTTCCTGCCTTGCAGGGGTGGGTTGGGATGGATGACCTTGGGGTGTCCCTTCCATGATTCCATCACCCCCTGCTTGGGGCTTTTTAACGTGCGGCCTCTTTGCTCGGAGGAACAGAAGCGGTCCCAGAGCTAAGCCCCTTGAGCATCGTCTGGGGTTGGGGCCAGAGGATTTTGGAAAGCCCTTCTATAGAAAAGCCAAACATCCACCCTCCCCTGTGTTGCTGGCTGATGAGTCCCAGGGTGCAGTGAAGCCTCGCCAGCTCCTCCTCATCATGATCTGCTGCTGCTACTGGATTAGTTTCTCTCATCTTTGCTGCTCTCTCTCAAAAAATTACAGAGGATTTAAGAAAGCAGGCAGGGAAGGGAGAGCGGTGGGTGGGGGGCGAGCTCATCTAGGAGTATGTAATTCGGCGATCAGGCGACACAGGACTTTCTCTTTTTTTTTGCGCGATTGTAAAGATGAGACCAGAAACTAGCTGGAATTCCAGCTGAAGAAATCACACCTGGGGTTGGAATGTGACTACCGGTCTCTTTTCAATAGCAGAAGAGCACCCGCTGGATCAGGCCCAATGGCCCATCTAGTCCGGCATCCTGTTCTCACAGTGGCCGACCAGATGCTCATTATGGGATACCAGCAAGCAGGATGCGAGCATCATCATCATCATCATAATAAATATAATAATATACAGTGGTACCTCTGGTTGCGAATAGGATCCTTTCCGGAGCCTGTTCACAACATGAAAAGAACGCAACCCGCAGTGGCACGTCTGCGCACGCATGGGTTGTGATTCGCCGCTTCTGCGCATGCGCGTGACATCATTTTGAGCTTCTGCGCATATGCGAGCGGCGAAACCCAGAAGTAACTCCGGTACTTCTGGGTCGCCGCGGGACGTAACCTGAAAGAACGTAACATGAAGTGGACGTAACATGAGCCACTCTGGGCAGCTTCCAACAAAATATTAAAATACAATACAGTGGTACCTCGGGTTAAGAACTTAATTAGTTCAGGAGGTCCGTTCTTAACCTGAAACTGTTCTTAACCTGAAGCACCACTTTAGCTAATGGGGCCTGCCGCTGCTGCACGATTTCTGTTCTCATCCTGAAGCAAAGTTCTTAACCCGAGGTATTATTTTTGGGTTAGCGTAGTCTGTAACCTGAAGCGTCTGTAACCCGAGGTACCACTGTAGTCCGTTAAACAAGATGCAACACTCTCCCCTCCTGTGGCTTCCAGCATCTTGCATTCAGAAGCACGGTTGTCTCTGATGCAGAGCAAAGCCATTGGGACCAGTGGCTATCGCTAGCCCTCTCCTCTGCGCCTTAATCAGGGCAACGGCTTCGCAGTGTTTCTGTACTCCCAGCTCCCACCCTCTCCCATCTACTGAATAGGCTGCCTGGGGTTGGGGTACCTGGAGGTCCAACAATATTTGGAGAGCCATGGTCATTGCCCACTCCTGCCCTGAATCAAGCCGACCAGGATTTTTCCTTAAAGGGTCTCCTGCAACAGGGGTTCCACCTCCTTCCCCCTGAAAAATCTGCCATATTTCTAGTTGCAAAGGTTCTTCCAAAAGTTCTCTCTAGAAATCAATTTGTTCCCCCCAAATGATTGTCCCCAGATGATTTTAGCGGTCAACACCCGAGTATTTGCTACATGATGATATGTTTGCCAGACAACACATCATAATATTTAGGATTTTATCATACAGTATTTGGTTAATGTACAATTCTTGGAGCCGACGGTTTACGAGATTTCGGGACTGCTGAGGCCCTGCCAGTTTCAAAATAATCCGAGAGATTCCCCCCCCCCCCCCCGGCAAATGCTAAGCGCTTGAATTTTGGTGTTAAAGGTGATGTTCGAGATCTAGGCTTCGCTGCCGGGTTTGGAGCGTCACATGCAGAATTAAAAGCGTTGTCATTATTCTCCCTTTCAGCGCAGAGAGCTGATCCCGATGTTCTATAAAACAGCCGTCCAAAGTCTAGAAGAGAAACTGGTACAGGCCAGAAAGAGAAGCAAAGCTATTTTGCAGATTTATTTTAATAGAGGGAAAAAGTCATTGAAGCTCTGGTGGGGAACAGGAACTGACTAAGTGGCAGGAAATTAAAGGATATTTGCCACCACCGTGCTGAACAGGAAACATTCTTAAAGGGGCAGTAGCAGCCCAGAGGAAGCTACTAATTCAACGTAGGAAAGGGCGTCTGCTGAAGGGGAGCTATTCTGAGAAGGACATTTCTGGGTGACATGGGGTCATCCCAAGGAAGAGGTGGAGCTGCTGTTTTAATTTCTATCTCGGCGATCACTTGTGGCCGAGTAAGATAGAGCGCAGTCTTAGTGGTGGGTCCGCAGGTGACTGTGGAGGCCAGTTCTGGATCCACATGTCCTTCCACAGTGGGGACATTGGTTTCCGGGCAGGAGCTGATCACTGTGAGGATGTGCCAAACATGCCTTCCTCTTAGTTCATTTCTCTCTTTCTTCCTGACTTTATGCTTCTTCAAAGTCCATGACACCTTTGGTAACAGCTGTTCTCCAACTGGAGCGCTCGCAGGCCAGTTTTTCCTAGATTTGCCTTGAGAGAGTCTTTAAACCTCTTCTGTTGTCCACCGGCATTGTGCTTTCCATTCTTAAGCTGGGAATAGAGTAGTTCCTTTTGGAATAATAATAATAATAATAATAATAATAATAATAATAATAATATTTATACCCTGCTTCCCCAGCCACTCTGGGTGGCTTCCAACAAAATATTAACATACCATAATGCATCAAACATTAAAAGCTTCCCTAAACAGGGCTGCCTTCAGATGTCTTCTAAAAGTCTGGTAGTTGTTGTTCTCTTTGACATCTGGTGGGAGGGCGTTCCACAGGGCAGGTGCCACTACCGAGAAGGCCCTCTGCTGGTTCCCTGTAACTTGAAGACTTCCACTTGGGTATGGAAAAGCAAACCTTTGACAGCACTTAAGGGCCCTCGCGTAGAAACAATCTTAGCCAGACGCCTTGCCCATCCTGCACCCCTTAAACAGTATAAGCACTGACAACTGGGAAACACTGGCCTGTGAGCGCTCCAGTTGGAGAACAGTCTTTCCCAAAGGTGTCATTGGCTTTGAAGACACTTGAACTCAGGACACAAAGGAGAAACGTGTTAAGAGGAAGGCACGCTTGGCAAATCCACACCGGGATCAACTCCCGCCCGGAAACCAACTGTGGAAGGACGTGTGGAACCAGAATTGGCCTCCACAGTCACTTACGGACTCATTGTTAAAACCGTGTTTATGGAAGACAATCTTACTCGGCTACGAGGGATCGCTGAAGAAGAAGAAGAGGAGGAGGAGGAAAATACTCAGCCCCACTTCATCTCCTTCTCCCACCCAGTGAGATGGAATCCAACATAAAAGCTTTGCTGACAAATGTCAGGCAATTTACGCTGCTGCAGTTGCCTGGGTCCGCTCAGCTGTGTACATTGTGCGGGTTTATTAAAAGGAGAAAATCATTCTTTTCTGGTGCCCTAGGTAAAAAAGATTTGCTCTTGTTGGCAGGAGTGCTATGTTCACCAGCAATTGGAGCGGGGGGGGGGGGGGAGAGAAGAATAGGTGCATAAAAGTCTAGAGGGATAGGGAAGGGAGGGCCAATAAACCCGAACTGACCTTCTATGATTAATTTCCACCAGCAGCAGCTTCTGGGAAGGGAAGAAGGTGGAGAATTCGTTGCCAATTAATGGCCGTTTCCTTGGAACTCCTTGCATGGATATGGCCAACATGAAAAGTAACACGGGCTGATGGGTTTCCTCAAGCACGTTACCCTCCGGATTTGCCAAAATTGGCATCACCTAATGGCAATAATGGGGACGTGGGTAGTGCTGTGGGTTAAACCACAGAGCCGAGGACTTGCCGATCAGAAGGTCGGCGGTTCGAATCCCTGCGACGGGGTGAGCTCCCTGCTCCTGCCAACCTAGCAGTTCGAAAGCACGTCAAAGTGCAAGTAGATAAATAGGTACCACTCCAGCGGGAAGGTAAACGGCATTTCCGTGCGCTGCTCTGGTTCGCCAGAAGCGGCTTAGCCATGCTGGCCACATGACCCTGAAACTGTACGCCGGCTCCCTCGGCCAATAAAGCAAGATGAGCGCCGCAACCCCAGAGTTGGTCACGACTGGACCTAATGGTCAGGGGTTCCTTTACCTTTACCTAATAGCAATAATAATAAAGGCAAAGACCATTCCCAATCTCTGGGGAGCTTTATGATAGAAATGGGGAACTTTTTCAGTCTGGGGGACAACTTGCCCATCCTGGGTAGGGCCAGAGGTGAAAGTGAGCAGAATAATGAACCTAAATGTTCCCTCCATATTGTAGGCTGGTTTCTACAGCCCTCAGTAACCTCTGTGCAAAGAAGGAAGAGGCAATAACCGATTGCAAGGTTGCATTCCAGCTGGGGGAAACTCCGATGGTGTGGTTGGGGGAGGGGGTTGAATCCCAGGGGCCAGATTGAGAGGTTTGGGGCCACATTCAGCCACCTCATCCCACCGCTGTTTTATGAGGATGAAGTGCTGGGCAGCAGGAGCGAGAAGACGCCTCTGGGTTTGTGGTAGGAAGGGAGGGATACGATTTTTTATTTTACACTGGAGACGACACACAACTGGCAGGAACTGCAAATATTTTGAAGGATGGGATTTAGAGTTCAAAAAGCCTTGAAGTAGCCGCACATTCCCTTGTAAGCCGTCCAGCTTAGCGTCAGCGAAGAAAAATGTAAGACTGTTGGAAGATCTAGGAGGGAAGCCATCCCGAA